AACAAATAAATAAAGCATGCCTCTATAAAAAAAAAAAAAAAAAAAAAAAAAGCCTATATATGTTATATATATATTATAATCACCAATGGAAAGAGAAATAGTTATATGAATGAGCAAGTAATTAAATACCTCTCCCCATTCACAACTCCTACTTAACACTTTGAAACCATATAGTTGGTATTATTTGAAAAATTTCTCAAGATGATTTTCCTACATTTAGTCATAAGCATTAAAAGAGAGATCATAATCTTTCACTGTAACTCAAAACTTCATATTTATGAGCCACTAATCTGCTAGCTCTACAGGTTCCAACGCCTTTAATATCCATTCAGAGGAAACAATATGCCAGCAACTTTCATCACCAAAGTGCTGAATATGTTTGTTTACTGCACAAACCATTTACAAGATATTAGAAGGTAGAGTTACAACCCAAGTTAGACTTACAAAGAGCTACATTCTGATTGGTCTTCCAATCAGATCCCAATAAGATGTTCATCTTCTTCCCAAAGAAGAAAAGACTTTAAGGAATCCATTCTAGGGAAAAGGAGAAGCATAAGAGGAGGTAATTTAACCTACTAGACAATCAAAGACATAAAAGGTAAATCCAGGATTTCCCCTAAATATGTGTGCTCGCATAATCTCCTTGATGCTATCTTTCAACATACAGTATCACTCAACCCTCAAAGGACTACAACACATAAATATTCTAAAAGACTGTCATCATGAAGCATAAGCTGATCTTCATAAAAAGTAATGTTTACTCAAACCCGTATAGTTTACGAAGTACCTTCACACATAACATTTCATTGAATAAGACAGGTATTAGGTAGTGAGGGCATTGTTACCCATTTTACAGATGAGGAATGAAAGTGTTATAGAGCAACCCCGATATTAAACGGGTTCCTGGCTGTGGGTCCTCACCCGCGCGCTTTAAAGGGACTTATGAATACCTACTACAGACACACACAAAAAGGTTAATAAAAGGTTTATTTACAAGAGGAAAGGAAATAAGGAAAATGTACAACTCAGGGAGAAAATAGGGAAATAAAGTCTTTAATGCGTCCTACCCGATCCGACGACCTGGAAACCCAAAGTCCCTCTCAGAGCTGGCCGGAAGCTGCGAGCTGGTGGAGAGCCCAAAATGGGGTCCCCCAAAGCCCACGTGTCCGCCTTTTCTATCCACCTGGCTGTTTAACCCCACCCTCAGGTCCCAGCCACCTTCCCTTTGGTGGTGATGGGATTTGGAGTTCCCAGTGTCTTTGGCTTTGACCTGGGGTGGGGGTGGAGTCCACAAAGCCTATATGGAAATAGCTTTGGGACATCCTTTTCCCCCTAACAAAAGGATTTACCTAAATTCATACAATTTATGACTGATAGAGCCTCCAACTCAAATCATGTGAAACCAAATTCCAGGCCCTTTCCATAACCAGATTGTGCCTCCTCATTCCACAACAGAAAGTTACAAAACTATCATCTCTGTCCCATTTGCACAGGGTCCAGTAGCAATGCTGTAAGAACAAGTATCAGCTATTAATGTAATAACTACAAAATGGAAAGAAAACAAACTCAGCATTTTCTGAGTTTTTTCCCCAACCTATACTTTGCCTAATGGCATCCTCACAACAGCCCTTCAGGTAGGTACTGGTATTCCTCTTGCATACATCAGGAAACAGACTGAACAGGAGCAACTTGACTAAGGGCTACACATTAAACCACGCAGCAGTGATTTTAACCATGTGTCTGCTATACCACACTGCCTTACATGATATCACACCAATGCCCTTTTTCTGATCAGTGATAAAGAAAAATACTTTTTAGGTTACAGTATTTTAATATTTTAAAATAACAAAAAAATCCTTCTCCCACTTGTTGCTGTCACTCACTTCTCAGCAGAGCACCTTTTCTTCTTCCTGATTTTATCTTAATATCTGCTGGGATTAGCTCTGGAAAAGCCGCTAGCTGTTAGCATAAAAAAAAATCCATGGCATCTTTAACAAATAGCATTTATTAAGGCCACAGGAATCACTTAACTATTGTGTTTGCTCAAGGTCTTAGTTAATTATACAAATCCTATGTGTCACTTACAAGAAATGTGAGCTTGCCCAAACAATTAAAAAGTGAAAACCGTGAACAAACTATGAAAAAAAACTATCCTTTTAATCACTGCTTCCTGAGGGTTTTAACCAGTCCCAACAATATGTATAATAGTAATCTTATTGTCAAATCTGTGATTGTCAAGTTTAAAAATTATTTTTTGTATTTAAATTGGCATACCATATCAGCACTCTATTAATAAAATGTATTTCAGTGTCAAAATTTTTAAAAAAAAGTAACGTTATTACCATCACACCCATTACTGTGAAAAGTTGGAAACAGGTTAGCTTCAAAATACTATGTACCCCTCTCCTCATGTATTAACTGCTCAAAGAAGACAGTGACAGAAAAAAAGAAAATGTAATCACACACTTTAGTTTTAAATTTGCGAAGGACTTCCCAGAACAAAATTTAATTAGCTTTAACAAGCTAAAGTGTATTTATGATTCCCAATGGGGTGGGGGCGGGCTTCCTTATCTGAAGCAAACAGGAGGAACTTTTAAGTTAGCATAAATTATACTCATAATGGAAGGTGACCAGTAAAAAGGGATTTTAAACTAAACTCGTAGTTCAGGGAACAAATAAACTAAGTCTACCAGGGCTAAAAGGAGAGGGGCGAGTGAAAAAGCAGAAGGAAGGAACAAGGACGGGAGTAGAAAAAAAGGAAACAGGAAAAACTGAGCAGGAGGAAGTGTAAGGGAAGGGGGAGGAGTAAGCGGCAAAGAAGGCTAGGCTCAAGAAAGCACTGCTGGAGATGTGCAACTAAGCTCACATCCTACTTTTCTTACAACTAGGAAAGGAAGAAAATTAATTCCCAGGACCACAGGTTTGCCAGATACTGTCCTCTGGAAAGAACCCTCCTCTTCTACAGAGCAGATTTAAACTAATGGAAATAAACTGGGCAAGACCAGAGATAATGGAGTTCATTTGAGAAACAGGGAAGATCCTGCACAACGGTAACTGGTGATGATGGAGAGAACTTTTTAATGCTAAAAAAAAAAGTGTTAAATTTAAATGAGTGAATTGTGTGGTGCGTGACTACCTTAATAAATCTGTTATTTATTAATAGTATAGTAAATCGGGCAATATATGACTGTACTTCCGATTTAATAAACAGTATTAGTTCGGTGTGTTAAAGAATACCCCACCAAATTTCCTCACCCACGAGGGTGAGTTTACTTGTGTCTGGAAACATCTCTGTTGGAATACATCAGTCTGGGAAGGGGACAGGAATATTATGAATACTGAAGAAGAAAAGGGGGCGGGAGGGGGGGGTGCCGAGGTGGGCTGTGAGTGCTTTAAGAGATGATCATCCCCCATTTTTGCCCTTGGAATTCTGGTTGGCGTGGGGGAAGGCAGCTTTTGTTTGAGGTATGCCTTGAGGTAAAATATCAGGTTTCTTCAGGGAATGATGAAGGGCCAAAATCTACCTATCAAAGAGAAAATGATCCGGGGTGGCAAAGTCAAGTCCGTTCCGAAGAAACCCCAGTCGGTTTATCGTGAAATGATCGCACACATCTCATCTCTGCTAATCCCAAATTGGACAGGCTTGCCCGGTCACTTCCGACCGCTTCTCGCGAAGAAGACGGATGCTTTGCCGCGATCCCAGAAGTTTCTGGCGAGTTGCCCATTGACGTAAAATAGAAAACTGTTCGGGGACCGGCCTCGGTGCAGCGAAGCGCCACGTCCAGCCCTGGAATGCCCCTTCCTCCCTCCCAGTGCAGGCAACGGGACCCGGCAGGGCAGGAGACGGGCTGGAAACGCCAGATCACGGGTCTTCGCCCTCCACCCCTCAGCCCCTCAGTTTTGGGGACCAGCTCCTAGCGTACACCCATCCCCGCTCGCCCAGCCTCGGTCCCGCGACCCCCGGGACGAGCGCCCCCAACGGCAGCAGGCGCGCCTCCCCGGGGGCAGCTGTCGCCGCGGCCCGCCCGGCCCGGCCTCCCCGGGAGCAATAGGCTATCGATTCAGCGGCCTGTCGCTAGGAGCCCCGGGAGAGCGAGGCCTACACAGCCCGGCCGGAGCCCCGGCCTCGATTTCGTCCCTTTCCCCCACACCGGAGGGGGTACCCGGGGGCAACCGAGCCCAGCTAGGCGGGAGGGAGGAGGCGCCCAGACCACCTGCGACGGCAGCCGCGGGGAAGGGCGGTGCGGGCTCGGGGCTCCTGCCAACGCGCCTCCCGGGGTCGCCCGCCCGCCCCCTGCCTCGCAAGTTGCGCATTCAAGTTCACACCCGCGCCCCTCAGTCCCCTCAGCCCCGGCACTCGCGAGTCCATAATAACAACAGGACGCGGAAGAGGCCCCCGCGGCTCCGCGGGGACGGAGCTGGGCCCTCAGGGCGCGCAGCGGGCGACCGCCCTCCGCCCGCCCGCCCGCCGGCTCCCCCTCACCGCCCCCGCCGGCACGGGTCGCCGCCCCGACCCTCCGGCGTCCGGCCCTGTCACCGCCTCGGCCCCGAGGCCCCTCGGCCGGGACGCCGGCCCCGGGGGCGAGAGTTGCCCGGGCCGGCGGCGCACTCGGCCTCCTCCCCCTCCACATCCCCCAAGTGCCCCCCGCACCCTTTTAAAGTGCGCGGAGGAAGAGTTTCCCGTCAAACTTTGCCGGGCGGTAACCTCGCCCCCCTGCCCAAGCCACACTTTCCGGGCCGTCCTCAGGAGCCAGCACTTTCCACTCGGGATAAAGCGAATTACGGACCTGTCAACCATTTTAGGCCTTTTTTACAGAAGACATCCTCTCCCTCCTCGCCCGCCCGCCGCCCTCCCCCCGCCGCCGGGGCTTTCATTTGACACCCACTCTGCCCGCCGCAGAAGGGGGGTGGAGGAGGGAGGGTGGGGACGGAGGGACGAGGGGGGGCGAGGGCCGCGAGGAGGGGCGGGGGGCGCGGGGAGGGGAAGGAGGTTGATTTACCTGAGACCAGCCACTGGCCTCCATTGTTGGAGAATTCAATGGCATTGACACAGCCGAAGTGGCCGAGGAGGTCCTTCTTGTAGAGGTTTCTGCAGCCCCGCAGGCGTCTCCTCTGAAAGTCCTGAGTGAGCAGGGGGTCCCCATGCAAGCCCCGCTGGGACAAGAAGCCCACCACTGACCTCATGCTGCCCCCCAGGCCAGCTCTCCTCTTCATGCTGGAACCGCCGCCGTCGCCGTTCGCGCCGCCGCCCCTCCCTCGGCCTCACGCGCGGCCGCCGCGCTCCCCCACCCGGCCCTCCCCCCGCGCGGCGATCCGGACGGTTCTTTAACCAGCCATGGCAGACAGAGCGAGGTGTGCAGACGCTCGGCGGCGTTCGCGGCTTCCTGACGGCCGCCTCCCTCCCCCCCCCCCGGCTCCTCCCTCCCCTTCTCCGCCTCCTCCAGCAGCTGATCCTCAGCTGCGGCCGCGCTTCCGCGCCGCGCGGCCCTTCCGCCGGCCCCGAGCCCCGCGCCCGCGGGCGGCGCTGCCCCTCCCCCTCCGGGCGGCCGGCCGGGGGCCCGCGGGCGGCGCCTCGGCTTTCCCGCCGCAGCTACCGGGCGCTCGGGACCCCGGTCGCGCCGGCCCGAGAGCCCGCGGCAGCCCCCGGGCGCCGCACTCTGGGAAGTTGAAGGCGCGTAACAATCAAAGTGGCGGCGAGGCTGCGGGCTCGCCCTCCTCACCCCGCCCTGCGCCCGCGCGGGTTCGGGTCTCCCACACCCCCCCCCACCCCAACTCTCCTCAGACCGGGAAACGCGGCCTGAGGTGATGAGGAGGTGGGGGGTCGTCCTGCGTTCGCCGCATCCTTGAGCACCTATGCGAAGGGATGTGGGAGTGAAGGCTGCTCAGTGCGGGGAGACTGCGTGGGGATTTTGTCAGTGTACCCGACCTTCCCCCTCCTCAGCCCCCCAGAAGTTGCTGGCGCTACCCCTCCCCCTCCAAAATTCAGTTCTCTCGCCCTTCCTCTAGTCCTTCAGTGGAAAAAGCGAAATTGTTTCACTGGTAGATAATGGAGTGGTATATGGGAGAAAGCGATTCTTCAGTGAGAAAATTGCCAAAATCGAGTTAAGAAAGCTCTGAGAAGCAGAAAGTACTTCTGTCCATTAGTTCCAGGTACGTTTGCAAGACACAAGAAGCATTATTTGAAAATCGCAATATATGTTATTTAATTGGTGCACTGAGCTCCTCGTCCAGTTCTTGAGTGTGAAGCTCAAGAGGCAGTACAGCTGTTAACCAGCAGCTGCGTGCCAAGGCCAGCAGTAGCTGCACTTCACTTTGGTGGGAGCCTTCATTGACCCCAGTGAAGAGACTGGGTGTTAAATGCTTTGGAATGCTATCGGATAACAATAAAAAGTCCCCTTGTAGTGTATTTTTCCTAGAAGTAGTGTATTTTTCCTTTGCCATTCAACTGTAATAAGCCATTGGAATAGCCAGGTATGTCGGTTTTGCCCTTTCAATTTAGCCGAATTTCACCCTCTGCACCAGAGATGGCACAGCTGCATGAACATGGAGGACAGTCACATGCATCGAGCAAAATCTTGAAAAGATTAATCACACTAGGAACAAATAACCAAGTGAGTCTAATTTAAAAGTCAAGGTTGTAACAAATTTTGCTGAATTAAACAGAATCCACCAATTCCAGAAATGATGGTTTTAATAGAATACTGTTTCCCTAAAAGGAAAATGTATGGAGTTTCCTTTTAAAAAGTTTTATTCTCAGGATGCTTCAGAGGGTTTGTTCATTATACTAGCCTTGTAAAGATCACAGTAGCATGCCAACCTATTGATTTTTAGCACCCAACAGCTTTTTTTCATAGCAATATCATAATGCATAAGTAAACATTTAGCTTCATGATTATATCATAGTGTCCCGTCCCAGCCCCCCACCCCCCCCACTGTACTGTAAGCTCTCAGAGAGCATGTCTGTCCTGCTTGTGCGTATATGTCCAGGGCCAGCCAGTGCTGGCAGTGAGTGGCCATTCAAATATTTGTTGAATACAAGAATGAACTTAGGAAGTATGGAGGAATTTGAAGTGAAAGGTAATAACTTTATTTTTTTTTAATGCACTGAGTTTAAGGTATCTGTATTTCATTCCAAGGGCGACAATTTCCAGTCCAATTGCTTGTCTCACTATTCCTTTGCTTGACTTAGTCCACACATTCAAAAAAGGGAGTCTCTGGTTCCTTCCAATTAATAGGACATCCCTTCTAAACACCTTATTTGCCTGGGATGGGGGAGATGGGCACAGTCATGATGTGGTGCAAGTGGCCTTGTCACATATGTGACCCACCCTCTTTTCTCCTCTTAAGCACATATCTTTTTTCCTACAACTTTAAATGTGACTCGCTTTCCCCTAATCCTAGAATGAGCTGTCCCATTTACCTCACCCTAAAAATAAACTAGGATCTGGTCACATGCCAGTCCAATTCTAGGACTTTGCTGGAAACTTCCTTAACTGTTCATTGATCAACCAGACAAAAATGTGGTACCACTAAGCCTGTTTATATCTTACTCTGATTCTGGGTAGCTTTTTGTAAGGTGAGTACATAAAATCCTCCCTTTTACCCTTAATTAGGATTGGCAGATAAAATCCAGGATAGCCAGTTTGATATGAGTTTCAGATAAACAGGGAATTATTTTTAGCTTAAGTATATCCCATGTAATATTTGGGATATACTTATTATATGTAGTGTATCTGAAATTCAAATTGAATTGGGTATCCTATATTTTTAAATCCGTATTTATTAAATTTGGCAACCCTACCTATAATATAATTCAACTTTAGAAGATAAAGCCCCCTGATATCTATTTGCTTTTATTAAGAACTTAATATAGTCCCTTGTGTCATTAATCACAAATTAGTATCATTATACATAATTATATAACAACATTTAATCAACTTCAGTGACCACATGAGCTTGGTCTTTCTGATTTGGCTATACTGTGTAAGAATAACAAATGAAATTTGACTCCTGAGTAATCTCCTCTACACAGAATATGTGGAGAAAGAGGGGAAAAATAAAAAATTCTTAATTTTCTTACTGAGATCTACAGACTTCTGTACATTAACGTTCATACTTAGGCAGCCTTCAGATGCTTTTAACATTCATTCTGAAAAAACTGAGATTGGAAATAGCATAACTTGGAAATCCTTATTTAATTGTTTCACTATGGGTTAAATACTGATCAAAGGTAGAATTCCCAGGAATTCATTATTCTTTGAATTTTATTTTGTTTGGCCCAGCTATCAATGAAGAAAGAGTGAAGAGGGCCTCCCCGGTGGCGCAGCGGTTGAGCGCTGGGTTGCGAAGCTGGGTTGCGAAGCTGCCCGCGGCCTCTGCGGCGCCAGTTCGATCCCCGGCTGCTCCCCGGCCACCGGAGGAGGGTCCCACATGGCGCGCAGACCTCCCCTGCCGCCCGCTGCTCCCCTCAGCAGTGTACTTCGGTCCTTCTGCCTGCTCTGCTCCCGCTCTGGCTCTGGTGAATTCTCTCACCCTCCCGCGCTTCTGACTGTACCCAGTGCATGTGTAAACAGAACAAACAAACAAATAAATAAATAAACATGCCTCTATTAAAAAAAATAAAAAAAAAAAAAAAATAAAAATAAATAAAAAAAAAAAAAAAAAAGAAAGAGTGAAGAATCTTTAAAAACTGACTAGATACTTAGGAAATGCTCAGACATTAGAAAATGATTTTTTTTAGCATAAGAAAATACTAAACACCTTTTCAAATATTTACTAAATGTTAGTATATTAACAATTACACATAAGGATACTAACATGCTCAGAAAAGTTTTTGTTTAAGAATATTTTCAATTTTAAGGTAAACTTACTCATGATAAGAGATCTTGACAAAGATCAATGTCTCAAGTATATGTGTAATTTAACTGTAATGTCATTTAAGCTTTAAATTTGATAATTTCAAATAAATAACAGTCAATATTAATTTTGGGGAAAGCAGTTATATTTTTTTTTTGTTTTTCTTTTTTTAAAGATTTATTTATTTATGCACACAAGAGCTGGGGTATGGCCAGAGATGCAGGGGGTGAGAGGATTCACCAGAGACAGAGTGGGGAACAGAACAGGCAGATGGACCCGAAGTACACTGCTGAGGGGAGCAGCGGGTGATACAGGAGAGGTCTGCCTCGCCATGTGGGTTTCTCCCTGGCTGGCTGGGGATCCAACTCATGCTGCAGAGGCTGCGGATTGCTTCATAGTGCAGGGCTTAACCCCTTGTGCCACCAGGGAGGCACAGCAGTTATATTTTTCAATACAGACCCCAGTAACAAGATCTATAGGACAAGGCCACTTCAACCACATCATGACTATGCCCATTTCCCCCATGTCCCCATGTCCTCATCAATCCTTGCTACTGTCCATCCTTTTTATTATATGCATACCAGTGGGTGAAGAGGCTTCTCATTATGATTTTGGTTTGAAATTCCCTCATGGCTCTTGATGTTGAATATCTTTTCATGTGTTTGTTGGTCATTTGTACATCTTATCTTTGGAGAAATGTCTATTCCCATCTTTTGCTCATTTTTAATTGTTTTTATTGCTGAGTTGTAAGAGTTTTTTTACATATTCTAGACACAAGTCCCTTATTAGATTTGATTTGCAAATACTTTTCCCACTCTTGTCTTTTCATTTTCTTGATTTTATCATTTGAAACATAAAAGTTTAGTTTTGTTGTGGTCCAATTGTCTATTTTTTGTTTGTTACTTATACATTCCATGTCGTACATAAGAAACACTGCCTAATCCAAGGTCACAAAATTTACTCCTATCTTTAGTCTAAGAGTTTTATAGTTTTAACTTTTATATTTAGGTCTATGATCCAATTTGAATTAATTCTTGAATGTAGTGAGAGGTAGGAGTCCAACTTTATTCTTTTACATTTGGACATTTAGTCATCCCAGCGCTATGTTTTAAAAAGACTTTTCTTTCCTCCATTGAACTGCCAGTATATAGAAATATAATAAATTCTTTGTGCATTGACTTTGTATCCTTCAAACTTGCTGAAACCATTTATTATCTCTAATTGTTTTTGTGAATTTCTTAAATTTTATATATTCAAAATTACATCATATGCTAATAGAAATAGTTTTACTTCTTCCTTTTAATCTGCATGTCTTATTTCCTTTCCTTAACTAATTGCCTTGGCTAGAACCTCCAGTGCAATGTTGAATAGAAGTAATAAGAGCAGACACCATGTCTTGTTTCTGATATTACAGGGAAAGATTTTAGTCTTTTAGTCACCATTGAATATTATGTTAGCAGTGGGTTTTATGCAGTTCCCTTTAACAAGCTGCAGAAATTCCTTTTTATTTCTGGTTGTAGAATGTTTTTTTTTTTTTTAAATAGAGGCATGTTTTATTTATTTATTTATTTGTTTGTTTGTTTGTTTTGTTTATACATGCACTGGGTACAGTCAGAAGCGCGGGAGGGTGAGAGAATTCACCAGAGCCAGAGCGGGGAGCAGAGCAGGCAGAGGGACCGAAGGACACTGCTGAGGGGAGCAGCGGGCGGCAGGAGAGGTCTGCGCGCCATGCGGGACCCTCCTCCAGTGGCCGGGGAGCAGCCGGGGATCGAACCGGCACCGCAGAGGCCGCGGGCAGCTTCGCAACCCAGCGCTCAACCGCTGCGCCACTGGGGAGGCCCTGGTTGTAGAATGTTTTTACCTTGAAAGTTTATTGAATCTTATCAAATGCTTTTTTCTTTGTCTTTTGAAATTATCATATGGTTTTTGTCATTAATTCTATGATATGATATGCTATATTGAAATGGCTAATAAATATAAACAATACAAAAAAATAAGGTTTGCTGGGCCTCCCTGGTGGTGTAGGTAGGTGAGCGCTGCACTGTGAAGCTGCCCAGAGCCTCTGCAGCGTGGGTTCGATCCCGGCTGGCTGGGGAGAAACCCACATGGTGCAGTAGACCTCTCCTGTCTCACCTGCTGCTCCCCTCAGCAGTGTATTTTGTCAGTCTGCCTGTTCTGTTCCCTGCTCTATCTCTGGTGAATCTTCTCACCGTCCCGCGCCTATGGCCTGTATCCCGGTTCTTGTGTGCATGAATAAATCTTTAAAAAAATAATATGGTATGCTATGTACACTGTTTTTCAAATCTTAAGCCAGTCTTAAGTTCATGAGATAAAGCCTACTTCACCATGGTGTTCAGTACCTTTTATATGTTACTGGATTCACTTTGCTAGTATTTTGTGAAGATTTTTGTTATTATATTCATAGGGATGTTCATCTTTAGCTTTCTTGTGATTCCTTTGTCTGATTTTCATGTCGGGGTAATGCTGGCCTCATGGAATGAGTTGGGAAGTCCATCCTCCAATATTTTTTGGAAGTGTGTGAAAGATTAATGTTAATTTATCCCCACAGTTTTGGTAGAAGACCACTAGGGGAGTCATCTCACTGGAATTTTCTTTATGGGAAGATTTTATTTCAGATTCAAGTTCTTTACTTGTTATACTTTTTTTTTTTTAAGAGATTTATTTATTTATGCATACAAGAGCTGGGGCACAGGCCAGAGATGAGGGAGGTGAGAGGATCCACCAGAGACAGAGT